GATAAGACCGAGTGCCATGTTAAAACAAACACATGGGTCGCCACCACTCGGAAAACGAGCGACGCTTCTGTCACAAGTTCATGTTGACGTCCTTTGTTACTTTGTTACAGACTGGGTAAACAGTGACCACTCATCTCACTTACGATTTGTGTATGAGTTATGGGAGGGGCTATGGTTTATGAGGGATCACACGCTTACCTCACCAACAGCTGAAAATTGGTAACTATTGGTCAACAGTGGGATTGGTCAACAGTGGGAGGGGCCTACGCAACATGATCGGTTGGAGGGACTACCGAAAAAGTAACAACATCGACAGGTGATTGAATTATGACGGCTCGCCCATAACGCCAGGGGCCAATGCACAATTTATGACAAAACGTAATGGAGTCACTAAGGTGGCCGTCTAAGACAGGTGTTATTGCTTTGCGTGATAGGGGTTGTGTGTTAAAATATGGTGGCCGCGGCTGCGTTGGACAGGTGCCCGTTTTACACAGTTAAATTATATAGAAAAAACGCAAGGGGGGAAATGGAAAGTGGCCGTCTGTACAGGTGGCCGTCTTATAGAGGTGGCCGTCAGGGCAGGTTTGACTGTACTTGGAAACGACTCACCTGAATGTATGGACCATACACCCCACCTGCTGGACCTGTGGAAATAGATACAATCAGAAGTCTGAATACGAGAAAATAACACAGCATGCATACATACATGACATACAAATTTAAAGAACAAAACAACACATATCTATTTATATAATATAACACATTCAGTCACATGGAAAATATCCGTTCAGAAGACCCTGATAGGACGGTCACACTTCCTGATCAGAGAAAAAAGTATTGAAAACAGCTACTATTGATGTCTTCAATAACTTCTCTTTCAGTAGAAAACATCAAATTTTACAGAATGCGAGTATTGTAGAAATCAACCAGGACAAGCTGATGACTTGAAAAGTAAAGTATTCATTGCAAAGTATTCATAGGCCTAAAAAATATAATACAGGGATGCCCTCCTCAAATTTCCCTTATCAGGTAGATTCAGGGACAACTTTATGTATTTTGGCCAAAAGTCAGGTAGTACAAAGACAAAGGAGGTTTTAGAAAAATGGCAAACTATACCCCAGTACAAGTCGTTACCCTTGAGTGGAGCATGCTTCTAGTAATATATCATTAATTATATTTTAAAAATGTGTGTATTTGTGCGTGTGTGTGTGTGTGTGAGTGTGTCTGTGTGTGTGTATGTGTGTGTGTGTTTGTCTCTGTGTGTGTGTGTGTGCGTGTGTGTGTGTGTGTGAGTGTGTGTGTGTGTGTGTGTGTGTGTGTGTGTGTGTGTGTGTGTGTGTGTGGGTGTGCATGTGTGTTTGGGTGTGCACATAATGTGAACAGTGTTGATGAAACAATAATTAACATATTGTGTGTTTTTTCACGTATCATGTACTTTAGTTCATTATTGAATGTGGATTTGAGCTCAGGGAGACTACCAGATTGACTTCAAAATCCATAACTCAAACCATTAAAATAAAAACAATTATCAAAACACATTCTCCTTAATTACTTGCTAAAAGGGCATTGGAAAAAATTCCTGTGTGACTAAGGTATGCCAGACTAGTTTTTCTCTATCCATATTTCTGATTTGGGCCTGTTGAAAGGCATGTGAAAAGGTCAGAGCATAAACTGTCCAGATCATGAACTACTGAGTCAACCTTGTCTTAATTTAATGTGTGTCATCGAATCAACTTTGAATGATGAACATTGATCACTGTGCTATCTTGGTGTTTCTGCATTTATTGCACAAGCTGTGTGTTTTGACCATTACTATACTTTAACTATCATAAGACCACCATCTGGGAATCAGCGTGGTTACGAAAATGAAAGCAGAACTTGATTTTCCAGACAGAGACAGCCGAGCCCTGATATGACGCCTTAAAACTTAAATCATATTTGAGCAAAACTCACATGCCGAAATAGAAAGCAGAACTTACACCGGGAACCCGACCAGCTAAACACTTAGACTTCTGATCAGGTCTAGTAAGTATTCAAAGTTTGGAAAACAAAAGTTCTCTTGCTTAGAGTCTTTCTCGAATAAAAAATTAGGTACTTCCTTTAATGGTTTTATAATCAATTCAAAATCTGTGGAACCCACAGGGCAAGAGATCAAGGGGAAGACCTCGTGGAACTTGGAGAAAAATCACAGAAATCGATGTACAGAAAAGTGGGAAGACATGGAATAACATCAAGAGGCTAGCCCAGGATAGAGAAAAGTGGGGGGTGTTTGTCCGTGGCCTTTACCATGGTGCAGGGTGAGAAAGGCAATGAATACTTCCTTTAATGTGTGGGTCGATTATAAGACCTGACAGTCACCCTGTCATAAACACCTGGTTGTGTCACTTAATCTGTACGCTGTATTCTTTAACTTCGGTACTGAACTTTTGCCAATGTTGTGAGCCATTCCGGCAGAGGCATTTAAAGAGGTCAACAACAAGACCCATCAACCAGCTGGCAAACACAAAATAAGAATGCTAATTTTATAATTTTAAGAAAATCTCTGTGCCCATCATTCAGTCTGTAGGCTCTAGTTTAGGCAACTTTTTCACAGTATGGTGGTAGAAAAGGTCCAAAACCAGTAAAACCGTTAAAAAAACCGTTAGAAATAGGCAACCCTGATAATATAAAAACAGGACTGAACCCACCTTCATCAGGTTCAATTTCAGCCCATCTCAAGGTTTCCTGCAGTTTTTCCACAGCTCCAGGAACCGCACGACTCTGAGAGAGAAACATCAAATAGCTGCGATCTAATAGTTTTAAAAAAAACGGTTTTCAATGTCATTGTCTGCAACAAAATCTGTGACTGTGAAGAAAGTTGTATAGGCTAGGCTAATTATATAATCCTTCATTTCCAGCTAGCTAAAAACCATCCCCAACATATATATATATATATATGTATATATATATATATATATATATATATATATATATATATATATATATATATATATATATATATATATATATATATGTATATATATATATATATATATACATAGAGCTAGGGGCTATTCTCCGGCGTCACGCCGGTCAATAGATAGGAAGCTATTCTCCGACGTGTCCATTACTTATGAATTACAACAATGTATTTGTCAACGCAGATTTTGGGATACAATAACTAGGCCTAGTAGGTCTACTTTTCATTATATTTTATCAATGATAATTGTTCAACGTAACTTTATTCATTTATTTGGGTGGTCCATTTACTTATTTTAAAATAATGATTATGCTTCTTTAAACAAACAAAATTGATTTTGTGTCTAAAATCCTGTCTAGTCACAGAGTATATAGCTTGATGTTTAACATATTTCTTGTTATTGTAATTTTCAATATTTTGCGACCTCAGTGCTTTCTTGTCGCATCTCTATTATTCTTTGTTGAAATTAACAGAATCGCATAATTTCACATTTTTGGGCTCAGTTTGCATAATTACAGAATGTTTCTTGCATAAACGACGGGGACGGATAGAATGATCTAATTCTGAATTGGAGAAATTGAGGCAGTTTGTGTCTGAAAACATGTCTGTATCAATGGCAGTGGCACGAAGTGGTGAAGTTATGGGAATTTTTTCTCAAGACAAACAGATGAGAGAGGTATTTGCAAATCTGCGCCGACAAATAATTCATTAGTAATAGATCGGCAGTGTGATGCCAGAGAATAGCTTCCAATCTATTGACCGGCGCAACGCCGGAGAATAGCCACTTGCATATATATATAATAATATGACACTTTGTCAGTTCATGAAATGTTGTTCCTGCATGGCATTATAAATTACGCAGTGGCTAGGTTCACTGCACTCTTTTATGTAGTTTGCCATAGAATGATCTTGCTCACTTCCCCCC